CGTGAAAGAAGCGTCTATAAAACGAGCGCGATGGTGGAGGGTCGCTATGAATCAAGAGGAGCAAATCCAACCACTGCCAGGCATGGTGACCAGCATCGTGAGCGTGCCCTCAGGCGGAGAGCCGAGGTGATCTCCGAAGTGCCCTCAAGCCTAGCTTTTCTTGGATTTTCATGACTTGGCACAGCAGCAGGCCCTGCTAGGGAACTACCACAGAAAACTGTTGCCTCTCCCCTTCTTTAGAAGATGTGTCACAGCAAAGCCACCACACCACTCTGCGGACACCCTTGACACCTCCGAGTCTTTGACATTCCACAACTGTACGTGGTGCTACCGAGGACGTTATGTGCAATTTACAATGAGTTAATTTAAAATTTTGGAAGAATATTATTATTTTTTTTCTTCATTTCAGTCATGAAACCCAATGTATTAACAATATTAATACAGCAGTTTAATTAGGAAACTTTGTGTAGGAACCAGGACACAATGCAATCAACATGCAGAAATTGAGGGCACGGTCTGGCGCTTCCTGGCATGTGGAAATGTTTGAGACAAGCTTATAAGCATGTTGCACTCACCATAAGTTCACAGTTGGGTGCTTATTCAATAAAAGTAGTTCTGTTTAGCCGCAGCAATTAAATCAGCACAGAAAATACTACCACGTCTCTCGCACACCTTGCTATGGTTCCTTCTCCTTCCAAAGGTCACTACTGACCTTTTACGCAGCTCTTCACCATTATTTATGGTTTTGAGTAGCTACTGATAATGCATCTAAGATTTCTGTATAAACCTGAGCAGCCGTAACACCTGTGGATGACACAACCAACCATTTAAAGGAAATAATTTCTCTGGCAGCTGTTAGTAAAGGACACGGATGCTTCCTCTGTGCTGCAAGTTTTCTGAAGAAAGGTATCACTTACCAGACAAGTTACTTATTCCTACAAATAGCAGGGCACGTATAGGAGGTGCTCTTTAAAAAAAATATAAATAATACCTTTACTTAAGAATAATCACAGACATATCTACTCGAGGAGCAATGATTACTTCCGCTTTCTGCGAGGCGATGGCTTACATCAGTCCAGGCTTTTGTGGACGACGTATCTCCAGGGGACACACAGCGATCACACGTGTAGCAGTGAATTTAATGCCTCTGCGAACACTCTCTAAGTAGGTTTATAGTTTCGGTAGATACATAGATTAAATCTACGTGCAGATTAAAGATGCAGGATTTCAACAGCTGCTCAGTTTTCTGCCCTAATTCAAGTGCTCAGGCAGAGGAGATGAGGACGGTCGTGCCTGCGGGGCTTGCAGAGGCGTGGGCTTGGCGTTGCAGCCCTGACCAAGCAAGGATACTGAAACGATTCACCCCACAACCTGACATACAGAGCGCGGATCTCCAGCTCCGTGGCGCAGAGCTGAGCCCTGTGCCTGGCCCAACGTCTCCAGCAGCGACTCAAGAGCTCGCGGTGGCAGCGTCTCAAAACCAGCTCCACCTTCCTCCTCATCGATGGGTGGTAGGAAGAACCTTCTGCCACCACTCAGCTTTGATAAGAGAAAGTAAGAAACGCCCTACCAGCTGTGTCTGCTGGCCAGGAGAGCGCAAGGGCAGGAGCCATCTCGGGAAGGCAACAGAGACCCTCTCAGTTTTGTCTGCCTGAGAAAAACGGTTGCATAAACCTACCTCGGTGCCAGTGGTTAATGACAATTCCCTCCCCTCGCAATGGCCTTGCAAATTTGTTTGTAGGAAAATGTCTCGGATTAAGATGTGGCTAATTTAAAAGCAAAATCCTCTTAATTAAAAAAAAAAAAAAGGGCTATTCCATTCCCCGTTGGCTCCTCAGCCCTGTAGATGGAACCTCTTACCCTGGGCGCATACCGGAATGCCTCATCTCCTGGGTTTAATGAATCAGCAAACCCATGCTTTATTTACAGGAAAGGACCACGTTCCTCTTCTTCTTAAGTACCAGAAATTCTGAGAAAAGCCAGCGCAGACTGCGCTAAGCATCGGATCAATTAGGCCCATAGATGGCAGGATGGGACCGTCCGACGGACACTCCTCATGTCGGTGCTCTAGGGGGGATCATGTACTTCATACGATTACCCACAAAACCCAACACATTTGGATGATACAGAGGACTTAGCCATGAATAATTAGCAAATTGCCATTCATTATTAATTTCTTGGAACCACTGCTTCTCTGTATTTTTCCCCGCAAGGCTCAGTCCTTCTATTTTACAGCTGCTGAATTTATTATTAATAGCTAGATCTTAGACATGGCCAACAAGTCTTCAGTTAGGGGTATGATAAATTTTGTTACGTTTGAGGTCTCTGGGACGTGCATAACTCCTCAGAGATGAAGTTCTTCTGCAAACCGATCTGGGTATCTGTCCCCGGGACAGAAGCGGTGCTGGGCGACCTTCTGCCGGGTGTCCCCGGCTCACGGCTGCAGCGGGGGTGTCCTCTGGCTGTGGGCGATACTCCAGCTCTCCTCCTGCCCCATCCTCCCCGCGGGCACCACTCTATTAATCTACCGTCTCCTTTGCTCAGGCCGCGTCACAGCCACGGAAAGTCAGCTTTGTCCTGACATCCCTTTACCCACTTTATGACTTTCTGTCAGCTCAAGGTTGCCTTTACGGATCACAGAAAGCCAGAGCCCTCTCAGTAGAAGAAATAATCCTTTTGCTGGTATCCTTGACTTTTATATCTGCATAGGATGCAGACACCAATAACTAAGAACACGCTTGGCTCCGTCCCCGAGAAAGGCTCCCAGCTATGCGTAGCTATGACGTCATTGATATATTATACAGGGATGTACAAAGAAAAAAAAAAATAGATTTTTCAAACTCTGCTATACAAATTTCTCTTTCAAAAAACCCCCAACTAACAGCAGACAGAAAGAGCCAGTTAGCAATTACTTAGCGCTATTGGGCAAGGTGCCAACGCGTGACAGGGGAGGTGTGCAGGCATCCGCGCTCCGGCTCCGATGTGCTCCCGCTGTAGCCGCACATCGTGGCAGCGCTTTGATAAAACCCCGCCGTGTGTTTGGGCCCCCACCGTGGGTCCGGGGGCAGCGGGGGGTGCGCTGGGGCTCCCAAACCGCGGCCATCACGGGCACCTGCCCTAACGATGCTCTTCCAACCCCTCTGCATCTCAGGCTGTATCGCGCCAATGCGATTAAGCTTAAGACACGTGCTGAAATAAGACATCAGCATCTAATTTTTAATATTTGTCAAGGAACATGATGATCAAATCATACTTAACCCTGCACTTGACCATCGAATGCTGCCACCAACCATTAACTGCTAAAGCCTCTCTCTCACATACCTGGACCAGCACATATGTTCAGTTATCGTTGCCAACAAACATACATAACGTTTCACAAGAGCAAATTCTCTCTGAAGGATTAAGGATCCATACTTAATAAGTCGCTACCCTGTTCATTATTTATTTTTTTTTTTTAAGTGATACACTTTCTAGATAACATTAACACAAGCTATGAGCAAGGAAAAACTTCACCAAATGATCTTCATTCCCAACCGAAATCTCGATCCCCACCTTTTGGAAACCTCTCCTTGTTTTGACTAGATTCAAAAAGTCATAGTGTAAGACATTTCATCTCGGTCTGTCAGTCAAACCTCCGAGCTAGTATCATCCCCATATTTCATTCTGTGAAGTCAGGATCAGACCCAGATTTCAGTCTTTTCTCTCAGACTGTTCTGCTTCACACATCCCATCTCTTTCATGACGGAGAATATCTATTTTTATGACCTGTAACGATGTACTTGGTACTTATATGACATGTTCAACCTCTGTATCTCAAAGCGGGTTTTAAGGGTGGCTACATGGTACCTCAACCATTTAAAACTGATAAAAAGCTGGCACCAACTAAGAGACAGATTCAGCTCTGCTCTGTTCAAAATTAAACGAAACTTTCATTTTACCTTTCTGAATTGCAAATACACCAAATACTACCTGCTTCTTGCATAATATTCCTTTTGTTTTCACTTCTTGCACTTTCTGTTTTAAGCATAACGTTGTTTTCACCCTATCAATGATTTCTCAACTATTAAGTAAAATAGCAGCAAAGGCTTCACGCTATTTTCTCCTTATTACGTATCTTCTGCAGTAATTTAGTATATTCTGACAATGCAGTTTCATGGCTACAAGGCAATAACCCTAGAATCTGAGCAACTGAATATCGACATTTCCACTCAGGAAGGAATGAATATCTTTATGTAGAGAAAAGCACGTAGGATATATTCTAAGTTTTGCCTTTCAGTTTTATCGCTATTAGAACAGATTAGCACTGAAGTTCAACTACGAATATCTTCAGATGCCACTGACAGATGGCTAGATATTCAACAAATGTGAAATACTACAAATCTACAGACAAAAATATCTTCCAAGCAAGACATTCGAGACCTATTTTAGGCAACCTTCACGCTAAAAATCTCAGTGCTTTGGTTTTGCCCATTACAACACATTGTGTTTTACAAAAGATTTAAGTCCTCCGCGACCTCTCCGTAGCAGAGGTCAACAGCCAACAAACCGACCTGTGAGCAGGGCTCTGGCACACCCCGGTTATTCAGCTCAGCGTATTTCCTCAAACTACCTGAAAAAGTTTTTCACTTTATTTACAGTGGTACCTCAGTGATCTGTTATTTCTATTCGGAGCAGAAAGATTATGCCATGCTAATTTTGTCTCTATACCACGGCGGCGGGTTGGGTTTAGTTGTGGTGGGCTGTTTTGTTTTGTTGGTTTTTTTTTTTTTGTGGATTCATCAATACCCCCAAAACATGCCATCGCTTTCATAACAGAAACCCTTCTACAGCACAGAATAAATAACCAGGTGCTTTATCTCCCAGTACTGAGGAACGCAACGGTATTTGTATGCCTTGTGAAGAAACCAGGGGGGGGAAAAAGCACACTACTGATTTTTGGCTTTTGAATCCATGTCTGTGGAAACAACCATGAACATTTGCCACATGTCCACGTTACTTACGGTTGAGAGGCAGGCTGGCATTGGTCGTCCCTAGCTTGTTGGCAGCGACACATGTATAGTTGCCAAAATGCTCTTCTGTCACATTGGTAACAGTAAGAAGTGATCTTGTACTATAATTTTTAATAGTAATTCCTTGTTGACCATTGATCAGTCTAGAAAGCAAAAAGAAAATTTCTGTAACTCATATGCCCTAAGCAATAATTTTTTTAAACAGGAAGCTGTTTGCAAGCTGCCGAGGTCGTCCGTCAAGCAAAATTATCATGGTGGCAGATCAGAGAGGCTGTGGGCACCAGTGGAGCTGTGGGGTGTTGAGGGGAATGGGTTCTGCCTGCGTGGCCTCGTCGAGAGAAAAAAGACTGAGACCCGTGGCCCTGCCTGCCTGGCCGTAGGGTGGGATATAAATTCTCACGTGTAAAGCTGAGATTTTAAATTGGGCAAACCTACAGAATTAAATACCCTATTTGGGGCAGAAAAGTATTACGGTAAGGCTTTCAGACAGTGTTTTGTCAGACTCTGGAGACTGCCTGTGTCCTTACACACCTCCAGCTGACGGCAGATGAGGATTAGGCAGCCAGAAATGTGACTGCGTAGGATTGACACCGCAGTCGGTTTTACAAGCCTCTACAGTTACAAATTAGACTCGCAATTAGGGGAGATGCGCTACAGCAGCACCGCACCCTGAGACAGCGATCCGAACAGAATCCAGGTGATGGAACGTAGGAAAAAATAAACCAGGGTTCCTTTCACCCGGCTCTGTTTCCCTGACTTTGAGCTTCCCACCCCGAATTTCGTAGGAACCAGCAGGTCTTTGACGCTGCTCCCAAAGTGGTGTCAGAAGCAGCGCTGCTGCACCGGGGCGAAGAGAGGATCAGTTTAAACGTCGCTGTTGTACCTAAACCACGTCTCATCTAACAAGGATATTATTAAAATACAGCTACAGCTGATTACTCATAATTCCTTATATTTCACATGAGGAGCGGAGTTCCAGATTAAGTACACAATTTCTGTTTGATATATTGAAAGATGTAATCATACATCCTGGGACTGAATGCGATCTTTCAGCATTCTGTCTAAAAACATTTCAAGTCGACCATTAATTGCACTTCTGCACATCGTGGACTGAATACTTCTCACCGCTACACGAGTGCCTCTGCTCTCATCTGATCTCTTGATGCTGCAGCACGTGCAGGGGGTTTCTCTTCCCCGTGCGGTTCGCGTTGCTGTAAAGGACTCGGGTCTGCTCTGTGCAGCCCGTTGTTGGGGAAAGGACATAGCGCATCCCACAGGCACACATGGTTTTGCCAGAAACATAAAAAAAATGGGATTGAAACACCCGGTTTGGGGCGAATGCTGCAGGTAGAAGATTCACCTTTCCTCCAGACTTGCGCAAGGCAGAAGTCTGTCCTTTCAATTTACGCACGCGCTTCTGCACGTGGATGTCCTCCTCCTCAAACCACCCGGGTCTGTCCCTCCTCTTTCTGCCTCTGCTGCAGACAACCCCAGGGGCGTCCTTCACCCCAAACCCCCACGCCCTGCTGCGGTGCTCCCCTGCCCGCGCGCCGCGGCTCGGAACCAGGGATGATGCTCGGGGAGGCTCAGCCGCTCGGCCCCGGCACTGGCTCCAGCCCCAGGCCAGACGCTTTCCTCGAGCTGTCCCCACGGCCACCATCCCTTCCCGCTGGGATGAGCCCCTCGGGCCCTCTCCTGCCCCCCTCCCAGGCTCCACTTCCACCAACGGTTATTCCTACCAGCTGTTTCAAGTCACCTCCACCCTTCTGGCCCATCGCTGCAGTCTGACCCGCAGCATCTCTTTTTTACAGTTGTAAGGTTGAACTTTTTTTTTTTTTTTTTTTTTTTTT